AATCCTTTATTCTTCAGGCATACACGATTTAAAGCAGGCATAGAGTGAAGAGAAGTGAAGCTAAAAGAGACAGCTGATACAAGATGTTTTGGTGATATTAGGTCAGAAAAAGGAACCATGACTGTTTCTTAACAGAAACACACTTATTGATGAGGGTTTTTTGCCTCAGTGTGAGCATTACAGTGTCTTTTACTGTCTTCTGTTTTAATAGCAGCATCATGCACACAGTTCTGTTGTTAATATTGCAGAGATGGCATGTGTTTGTGGGTAAATAATCTGGCTGTTTACAGTGCCATTAGGAAACCGCTGACTCCACCAGTTCACAGGCTCCTTTAAACCTTTCTCTGCTTCCGACTTGCTGAGTATTTGGTATTCAATACCGTGCGAGCGATTTCCTGCAGCCTCCATAACACAGGCTGTTGGGTTGCTAAGGAATAACTCTCAAGAGGTTAAGAGCCCTGCAGTCACCTTGATCTCACTGCCAGTGATTATCTGTGCTAATTTTCTGCTTTGTGTTTTATACCGCAGCACTGACCAAAGCTTATGTCTGTCCCTTGGCATGCATAAGTGTGAAAAATCATGGCTGTAGATGGAGAGATGTGCTGGTTGCTTTCACAGTGTAATGTCTTCAACATTATTATTACAAATGAAACATCATCATTCAACTTAAAAATAAAAAAAAAAAGGAATGAAAAAGAAAAAAGCCAAGTGAGATCAATTAGAAAGATAGACGAGATTTTTTTTTCCTCCTACATCATCCATTTTGGGTTCTTTTCACTGCCATTGGATGATAGCCTTTTCAGTACACATGCAGGGCAACTGCTTCACAGCCAAGAGGACCAGGAACTGCCTTTATAAAACCCCAGACTTCCAAGGGTCTCACATGATGTCTTGCATCCTTGGGCTGTTAACTGAGCAGTCACAGTGAAGGAACATTAACCCCAGGAGCTGTTGCCTCTGTGTTGCTTGTGCTGCCACAACTGCAGGCAGAATTTCAGAGAGGGGAAAAGAAACCCAGATCATGGATATAAAGAAGGATCCACATGAAGTTTTCCCAAAGCTTTAAACCCACCCTCCTCTAGCTGACTTATTCCATAAGGGTCAACACCTACAGATAAGGTCCTACAGTACTATTTCTCTCCTATTACTTTAATAGATAGCATGGAAAGATAAATGTCTTTCCTCCATGACCAATACTTGAATTCAACCAGCTTTCTTCAAGGAGACTAAGTAATGAGAAAGGGAAAAAGGAATTGAGACCCTTGCTCTGTTGAGAGCCCATAGCAGCCCATCCACCTCTAGTATTTCTGGGTGCTATTCCCACCTTAAAGGCCAAGTAGCTGTTGCTACATCTCTGTCAGTGGTCCCAGGTAAGAGTCCCTGTATGTGCAGAACTGGCTCTTTCGCACTCCATGTGAATGGTACTTCCACACAGAAACGCCTTTTGCCAATGCAGAGAGATCCCAAAAGGTCTGTGGGGAAAGCAGAGATTCCCTCCCCACCTCCAGCACCCATATCATGGGACACGGGATTTAATTAATGGGGATGCCCTTGAACTGTGACCATTTCATTGACAATAAACTCAGACCAGAAATGTAAGCAAATCAACTCCTGTTAGCTTGTCAGCTGTGCTAGAATCCACAATATGTTTGTATCTCATGTCCCCACCATGGGGTCAGTAACATTTTGGCAAAGAAACGGGTAAGAAGGACAAACTGGATAATGTTCACTGCAGCTAAAGCCATATATATGCCTATTTCAGAGACTGACTGTCATGCAACATACAGAATACCTGCAATTACCTATCTTGGTCTGCAATTACCTCTTGTCTTGGTAGCAATGGACGCTACTGAACTAAACCATGCAAAAATGCACAGCATGTTAAGTTTAAGGTTAGAGGCAACATCTATAGCAGAGCTGTTTAGACAGCATCAGCTGTAAAACAGTACATGAAAACCACTGGGGTTTCTCCAGGTGAAAATTAAAGACATAATAACAGTATCAGGTGTTTCTGAAGCAATGAAATATTTTTAAAATGTAATACAAACAACCCATAAAAATTTACAGGAATCCATAGATTACACTGCCATGTGATAATCAGACTCCAAAATCTGCTTCTACTTTTTCCTGCTCTGGTCCAACAGATAAGCATTAGACCATGTGGGTTGAACCTGTCATTTGCAAAGCTGAAGGAATATAAAGAACTGCGTTTAGTTTCAAGACAAAAGTTACCTGAACAGGAAACAGAGCAAAAGAATGAAATTGTTAGGGGCTGACTGATGTTGAAAAATGCTTCTCTCAAAAGAGAAGTATTATCCAAGATGTCACACTAAATTAAAAAAAAAAAAAAAAAAAAAAAAAAAAAAAAAAAAAAAAAAAACACGACTAGCCACATTTTTCAACAATATAAAAATATTCTGCATGAAGAATGCTGTGTCACAGACTCTCCTCAGTGGTACAGTGACAGAGTGAGAACAGAAGGTAGGGAAGGAAAGAAACAATCGATTGCCACACCAGAAAACCTTTCCTGCATTTTCCCTACCCAAAACCTCCACTGCCTGCAATTCCCCTCATCTGGGTAACCTGTGAGCCTTTCCCAACCACTCGACCCTCTCAAGCCTCCTGATTTTTTTCACTAGCACACTCAGATCTCTGTCTGAGACTTCTCTCCCTCCTGTGCCCCACCACTGCCACCATTCCTAGGGATGGCTTTGAGCCATCTCTGTCATGGCATTTGTACATGAAAAGTAAATTCCACACTCTGCAAGCCCAGTGAAGAGCCAGGAGTCCTTATGATATCCTATGGGCCAGAGTTGAGCTGCCAGAGAAAAATATAGCTGCCCTTCAGCCTTACTCTATCTGGTGCAAAGTGAATTATTCTTCATCAGCTTCATGGTCTTCAACCTCGAAAAACTGAATTTATCTAGTCTTTATGCAAATTAAAATAATGTCACTCCAGGTGAAAGGTTTCATGTGACAGGCCTTTTAAATTTGATCTTTTTCCTTCAAATTGTCTGTTATCTTCTACTTGAAAACACAAATTGAATATTAAGCATGGGCTTACTACAGCTATTAATCATTCAGCTAAATAAAACCACCAGCAAACTGTGAATAGCTGTAAATAAAATAATAGCTTTGCTACCTCTTAGTTCCATGTAGACTGGCTATAGAGTGAAAGACAAAATAAGAGCTGTCGCATAGTTTATTGGGATATTTTGCTAGTTTTACATGAAGGTAAGATACAGAAACGCGATCGCTATACAAGATCAAACTGTTATTACTTAATGTTATTTTGCTTTCTCTGCCACACATGGCTTTCCTCCTGCTGGGTTCTAGTGTCTCAGGGCTGTTTTATTCAATAAGTGTTTCACATAAATGCATATAGAGCTTTCTTTTCTCAAATAAATTACCAAAAGGACTACAGTCGGCTTTCTCACCTGGTGAGTCTCACAACCTTCATGGCTGGTCCAGTATTATGTGGGTAGGCAATACAACTTATTCTATTAATTGCACTTGGGCACTTGCATCCAAGGCAGATGTGGCAGAGGTGGAAATTGTCCCCTGACCTCTTGTTCCTTTGATGGATGTTTTTGCCAGTTGCAGACAGGAGAAATTGCAAGCCTTCAAAATCAAAGCACTGGGATGAAATGATTACAGAGGTAATTTAAGCCTGTCAACTCTGTTTTTTCCCCCTTTTAACTGGTCAACCTCTGAAACATAGCAAAGGGAAGAAAAGGGGAAAGAGGCATTATGTGATGAGGAAAAACAAATCCAAAGAACTACAGAATTCATGAACCATTCTTCAAATTATGCACTGAAAAGAAAAGAAAAAAAGAAAACATTTTACTCAATGTTCAAGAGCACAAATTATCCACCGTCCATCCTGTGAAGACAAACTTCATTAACATGTAGCTACCATCATTCACCTCCCTTCATTTTCAGTGAGGGTATTCTTCTGTGCTTTGTCCTTTCTAACTCTCTCCTTTCTACCTTTCTGCTTTCTTATTTAGAGCTTCTCTTTTTTTTGTGGTGCTTTCTTCATGCCTCTCATCCTTTGCTATACATAATTTTCCTTCTCAGGCAAGTGAAAAACTTAGGGTTTGTGTTACTAGTCCTTCATCAGGGAGAGTACAAATCCCTTGTGACTTTTCCATGCAGATCATTTTTAAGCTCTTTGGTTCTATTTTTTCAGATGTGTGAGACAGATAGACTTCATTGTTATTTCTTCACCGTAAAGGTAGAAAGTTGCTAATGGATTGCAAAACTAGGAAAATCAATCTAGGATTGACTTTGCAATTGACAGCTCAAAACCAGTTTTCCACCAGACATTTGCAATTTCCTACCTATATTTGTTTCCCTTGATGGTGCCAGTCTTCTCCCAGATTGGTATGTATATTCCTTTCTGAACCTGAGAGGAAAGGCATCTCTGTAATGCTATTGCTTGCATCATTCATTTTGCTAACTTTTTTCCTTTTCTCTTTATGATGAAAGATTTGGCAAACTCAAGGACCAACAGTCCAAACTTTTTCATGTTTCATAAATCAACTTCATTGTCTTAACTCTGCTCATCTACTCACTCATTTAACAATCTTTCATGTACTTAACAGTCTTCCTAGTCCGTTGATTATGCTATGTTAGCCCAGCAAAGAACAGAGCTTCAGTATTGGAACATCCACTTCGTTTGATCACTCAGAGAATTACACTATAATGATTCTCTAACTACAGAGCTGTCGCGCTGTGTGAAGTCCTTTCTATATGCGCTGTCAACTGTTTACATTGTTCTGCGTGCCCCAAACTTCACATTTCCAAATATCCTGCAGTGATAGTTGACAACAGCATTAGCAAACATAATGTACTGTGTATGGTTGTGGAAAAGAAGTGGAAGGACTTTGAAAAAGGGCTCAGAATGTGAGATTAAGCCAACATTACCACAAAAGTTTTAATCAATGTGTATTTTTCAATAAATCAGTTCATTCTCGTTTTTCTGTGTTTTTCCACAGTGGTTATGTCTTTGATTATGATTACTACAGAGACGATTTCTACAATCGGTACGTGTGGTTATATTTTTGTATATCCTACACCATTTCTACTGTTAATAATGTAATCACATCATACAGTTAGACAGGTCTGTTCTGATTTTGCCTATTATTCATTTCATTATTTCTATTGTGTATCAGAAGAAGACTATTTGAATATATCACAAACAGAGAAGATTATCACCACCAAATATATGCTCGTTAAACAGCTCTTTTGGTTTTATCTTTCTCTAAGAGCTTTTGGGGCATTTTCTGTGCGGAATAGTTTAATGGTAGTTTAATTGCCCAATGTTTCTTCCTATAGAGTTCTTCCAGGCTTACTTTCACTGGAACATATGACAGCTGTAAAATTCTTCTGTATGACACTTGTGTCTTTGTCGTTTCATCCATGTGTATGGAAAGATATAGAACGTCTCTTGAAAAATGTGTCTTCCAAGAATGTTTAGAAGGCTAGAAGGACCTTGAGGGAAGCAAAACCACAAGTTGAACAGCATGTGTGTTTCTATAGGAGGAAAAGAAGTGCGGATACCTGAACAATTGGAGACTTGTGCATTGAGTACGTACATACAGCCTAGCTCAGCACTGTGGGAATTTATTCATTCAGATGTAGCAGAATCGCCACAACATAGGGTTAACATGGATGACCATAGATAACCAACTCCTGATCCAGCAGTGTTGTGTCTCTGCATTACAGCAGCCTGGATTAGCAGAAGTCAAGTGAGTCAGAGAGGGACAAAGCATTACTTCCCCAGCCTCTTCTAATCTGAGATTTATTTTATGTAAAGCAACGGACAACAGCAGGAGAGTGGTTTGCACTCTGAAGTTAAATTATCATATTCTATACAGCTTTCTCCTTAGCAAGACTGTAGAAAAAAATATAGAAACAATGGGTTTTAGTTCTGTTCTTTTCCTGGGCTTGATTCAATTTGAGCCAGTAGTTTTGTTTCTGCATGTAAATGACCATGCTCATTTTGGACAGAGCTAAAAATAGTGAGCTATAAACGTATGGAGTAAAAGCCATCAATGCAGTTTAATCCTGCTCAGTCCAACCTTGACAGCAGGAGCAGCTCAGGTCCTGTAAAAAGTTAACTTCCACAGGTTTGTGTTTACTTTCCCCAAGGTTACTGCTCTGAATGTCATCAGTGGATTTGTACTGTTTCTGACCTATGCCAGCTAAATATTAAAGTTATGTCTTTAGTTTTTTTCCCTAATTATGTATATTATGGGTAGCACAAATGAACAACTGTAATAGTTACATTTCCACAGCAAAAGAAATACTTATGGGACATTTAAGGTTGTTTCTGTGGAACTTGGTGTCTGTCTTAGCAATTGTCTTATTATGGAAAACTGCTGACAGTGAAATGTGTTCATAAATCTATTCAATAGTATAATTTTCTGGTTTAGAAATCTTTCAGGATTAAAATAGCAGATCTTTTATGGTAGAAAATCCAAATACGAGGTTGGTTTTACAAGGCTGGACATGCTGGTCTGTTAACAATAAAAACCTTAGGAGGTTAAGGGTCTCCGTTAGATCTAAGATAATGGAAGTGGAAGATGAAAAGCTCTATATGGTAGGCATGGAAAAGAAAATCCCATGGAGAGTATGATGTACTATCAACGTGCCTATACGAAATATAAATTACAAAATATAGTCATGATTCTTTAAACTTCTGAAGTTCTGAACTTTCTGAACTTCTGTGTTTTATTCCAAACCATAGGTCTTGTTTTCTAATAATCAGTTTTCTGTCCTCCTTGAAGGGAAAATACACCTATCTTATCCTGACTAAAGCAGCGGTGGGGTCAGAAAAGGGTGGCAAGAATGGTTAGTGTTGTAAAATAAGATCTGTTTGAAAACAGACTGACAAGATCAGGACTGCACAATTTAGAAGGGTGGGTGAAAGAAAAGGCGTTGTTATATGCACATTAGTGATTATTGGGACAAAGAATTGCTTTAGAACTGAGCATTTCTCTTTATGTCATTTCTAATATAACAAACAAGGAAAACAGGCAGGGTACTTCAAAAGTGATAAAAGGAATCATTTTTTTAAAGAACGTATATCAGTGAAATATGTAGAACTTGGTGCAACAAAATACCAAGCCCAAAAGCTTTGCATAATTTCAAAAACAAAAGTAAGAATAGTAATATTAGATAACAGTTCTTTTATATATTTCAAAAAAGGAAGCATAGTTTTGCATTTCAGTGCATTATCTAAACATGAGCTATTGAGAACTAGGAAAAAAATCACCTTTGAAGGAATAATTGCATAATGATCTTGTGTGTGACAGCTTACAGTTCTGAAAAAGTTTTTCCAGTAATGTCGAACATGAGATTGTGACCAACCTGCAGATCATCCGATATGATAAATGATGAGTGACACAAGCAATAATATTTCTGTTAAAAGTCCTGAAAATGTTTTAATGTTGATCTTCATACACAATTGCTATGCTCACAATGGCTAGATACTGCTTATTCAGTAAGAATATACAAAGCCATGGAGTTCAAGTTCAGTGGGGTGACAGGATCTCTGTGACACATTTTGTAGGCAGCTATGGCAAAGGAGGGAGCTGGTTATATTGTCTGTGGGATTACGGTACAGACAACAGTAAGGACCCTGGGATTTAAGTGTTAGGTGTTTTCTTGCCAGAAAACGGGCTAGAAGACTTAAATTTCATTCTGCTTCCTGTTCGGCATGCTGTTAGACACTGTGCTGAGTGGATTACTGTTTCTTGTGTGTTTGTTTGCAAATGTGTATCTGTCTGCCCAGCTGGGTGACAGTAGTCAGAACTGTGAAAATTAAACATGCAGTTATAAATTTCCATAATTACTAGTTGCACATATCATTTGAAAGAAACTCGAGTATATTTTGTGAGAATGTTGCTTGTCCCTCTGCTTCAGTCTCTGAACTAGAAATCTTCATTTTCTGAACTTTCTTTTCCTGACCTGTTGTATTCAGAACCCATAAATTTATGTTCTAAATATATCTGTAGCTTTGATTGATCACCTTTTCTACTGCTTTTATTTTCTTCTGCGCAGGTTGGTTAGCTGCTGATGCTAACTGTGTTTTTAGAATTGGAGTATTCTCTTTGGGAGCACTAGTTCATTTTGGTTGTAGTGTCTCTTTTATTGACTGTAGTCGTAATTCTCTGAATATTTACTTGCTACAGTGGTTTTGGTTTGAACAAGACTCTTTTTTATTTAACATGCTTGGGTATTTTAGTGATTCTACACCAATTCATTCTTCAATAAAGAGAACATATGCTGGGACCTCTTTTCTATGCATTCAGAAGGACATACAGGTTCCTCACTATAGAGACTATTTTGCTGTTTTACAAACTGCAGAATACTTCTTCATGGTAACGGTCGGCTTCAGAAAAGTTCATTTCGTTTTCTGTCTTTAAGGATAGCAGATAGAAAACTAGAATTTAAGCCATGCATGTAATAAAGGAGCTGAAATGTCACCACAACAAAATGTACTGCTGTTAGTTGTGTGCAATGAAATTACGTGGACCTGTGGAAAGTAGGTTATGGATTTTCCATACCGCAAAAAACAGAGCCCCATAAAGCATCCCTCATTTAAATTACGCAAAAAATCTGAGCTATGCACTGGTCTGTGACCGAAATCTGAATATGGCACTTAATGTGCATAGGTCCTTGAAATCTAATTTGACTGTGATAGAAAGCGATTATGGTTTCAAAGGGTAATTTTCTCAAAGATAACATGAAAATTTAGTTGACAAGGCTTCCATGACACGAAATCACAGAAGGTTTTATGGAGTCCAGCTGACTTAATCTTTTCTAGGTTGTTTGATTACCACGGCCGTGTCCCCCCACCACCCCGTGCAGTGATTCCACTGAAGCGTCCTCGTGTGGCTGTGACAACAACTCGCAGAGGCAAAGGGGTTTTCTCCATGAAAGGAGCATCACGATCCACCTCAAGTGGGGCTTCTTCCTCAGGATCCAAATGTGAGTTGCTCGTATCAGCTGGATATTATTGAAACAATGATCCTAGCAATTTCTGCAAGCAGAAAGCTTCCACTATATAGCTGTGTTGCAGTCATTTCCTAACCTCAGCCCTTAGCTTGAAAAACTGGTTTGATTACCAAAGCTGCCATGCCTTTCCTGCAAGTCAAAGAGCACACTGGTGTAACTTTTGAAGGAAATCCCTTCAACAACATTTGGTCTACTCCCTAGGCCTCAGAAGAAGCCTGTTTAAAATCTCCTGTCATCCTGACTGCTTATGCACCATGAGGTCTCGTGAAGAGCTGATTATAAAGCAAAGCTAATAATCTTGTTATAGACAGAGGCACACCGATTTCTGGAGTGATTTGAGGGTTATATGTGAGGTGGGGGGGGGAGGACTGTGGGGGCCGGGGGGAGGTTGGGTTGTGTGTGCTTTTTTTGCCAGATTCCTTTGAGGGTAGAAAGAGGCAAAGTGTCTTTGCCTGTTCTAAAGGGAGTCCAAAACATGACTGGTAACTTGGGGTTATTCAACACTTCTTCAGTGAGCTGGCCTTAGAAGAGCTGATGAACAATAGGCATTCCCTCCTTCATGCTCACCAAGTTCCCCACCCCATAGTATGTCCTGGGAACTTCATCTTCCTCTTCGTGCATCTTTCAGCACCCACCCGTCTTCCCCTGCCCCTTATGTGGAGTGATACTGTCCTTGGAAGCGTCACTGGAAGAGGAAGAGAAAGATCAGGTAGGGATCAGATATTAGAAAGAATGAAGGGACTTCAATAAGACTCTTGCAGTACCAGACTGGCCAACAAAGCATCATGCTGTTTTACACATAACCATGAAATAAGTGAATCCACCAATAGCACATGTTACTGCAAGAGGGGGTAATTATGGCATTGACATGAGCCAGTTTTATACTCTGCTTGAATAAAATATCCAAATCTCACACACTAGCATCGTACAAAGAAGATGGGCCTAGGTGAGCCCACTAGGATCCTTTCTTGATCCTACAATATGAACTGATGGTATCAGACACCTTGAAAGAAAACATGTAATAAACACACATGTGACTGAAAGAATGGAAATGTGACAAACAGAGATAAAATTATTGTTGTACACTGAGGAACAAGGAGCTCAAGCCATTCCTTGGAAAGGATGATGTTCTGAGAGACAGAGGCTCTGTTGGTTGTACAGCTGAATCACACACAAGTCCCCAGTGAATTGGCTAGATGTGCATTACCAGTAATGGGAGCTTTGATATCTAGCACACAGGAAGACCTGCAAATTTAGGTGTCATATCGTGAAACTCACTCGCACCCTAAGAGGATGTCGGGGAGTAGCAACATTTCCTTTATTCTCTGGAGGATGAACAGGAGTCTAGACATTTTCATACACATCTTGAACTAATTCACTTGTCCGTAGCTACTTTTTGTCTTTCCTCAACACTTTAAATAATGAATTATGATTCCTTATATTAATTTAAAAGAAAGCATACAGCTCAAGATCTTCACTTTAGTAGATTTAGAACTTAAATTATTTTCTTAGTCTTTTCCAACCCTTGAGTCTTTGTATTTTCACACAGTGAATCAAAGCTTTAGTAAGTATATACACTTACAGATTCGTTCATTAGATCTCACTTGTTCATCCTTTACTGTTGTCTTATCCATATGAGAAGTTGGTAGCATCACTGTATCCAATTCACTAATTGTCCTAAAGCGTGGTCTAATAAGAACAGGCTTTTTGGACTCACTTTGCCTTGAGAAGACGAACTATTTTCAAAGAAGATTTTAATATATTTTCTCATTTTCCAGAACAACAATAACTCCAGAATTCTTCTAGAGAGCTGAGGATCTTAGTATATCCCAATAGACGTCAAGGAAATCTCTCACCCATAACTCTGGATTTTCATTGTAGTGAATGGGACACTGCATACTACATGAACATATAGGTTTCTGTTCCTCAGTATAATCACCAGATTTGTTTTATTATTTATTCTGCACTTCAGAAAATGTTTTGTAGTACTATGTTAGGACTAAGTAATGCATAACGTAGATTATAGGATTCAACCCTAGTCCAAGTACCCATAGCCACTTGCTATAAGACCTCCAAAACACTGTCTGCATAACATGGCAAATGTTGCAGAACCTGTAAATTATTTAATGGAAGTGCAATCAGGAGTGTAGAAATCCTAACAGTGTTATGCCCCGGTGAAAGTATCCTTCAATGCATTCAGGTGCGATGTGAATTCTAAAAATGTCAGTCTTAGAGCTCCAGGTGACAAGATCACCTTTGGATCCAGCTCTTTAACACTGAAAGGAGAGCTGCAAGATGCATCACTAAAGATGTGGGCTGACATTTTGACCCCTGTTGGGTTTCCACCCTCAGTTCTTTACAATGGCAATTGGAACACAACTGCAGAGACTATTCATCGTGCTGGAATAAATTGCAGAAGATATTCTTTCTGCATGCAGCACACCTTTAAAAGGAGTCAGACACACAGTATACAGACTTTCATGCTTGATTTCTTCATAGAATTATTGCCCTTTTTGTCAAGTCCAACCAATCCATCATAAAGGTAGAAACATGATTTTGTTGACTTGGACAGGAATGTAATCAGCTTATTGTAAAACATTTATCAGAAAAACAACCTAGCCATTCCCTTAGGGACTTCAAGCAGGAAAGTAGAGAATGTGTGCTTTGTGGCTTCTTTTGTCATTTTCTTGGAAAAGTTGATTATACTGAATCGTAAGACGAAGCAACCTAACATTTTTTTGCCCTTACTCTACACTGCTAATCTGAACCCCTTGAACTAATGCACTGTTGATTCTAATTGTAATTTATTGCTAGTTAAATAAAGGATCTCTTCAATAAGGAGAAACATAGTTTGTGAGAAGTAAGCTATTTTGGGTCTTAATGAAATTTAAGACTGCAAAACAGCTTAATCACAGGTTCAGAATCAACTATGTCAAAATGGTATTGCCTGTACTTGAAACATTTCACCCCCAAATAGCAAAACTCTCAAGAGACCATATCCCCTAATAGACTTTTCAGATTTAAGCAGAAATCTGATAGGCATAACTGTTCTCATAGCTGCTCTCCACACTCAGACTGGATCCAGAAAACGAACCCTTACATGTAATGTTAAAGATCAGAACGGAGGGCACTCCTCAGTGAAATTACCAAAATTAGAGGGACTCACATCTGCAGACTAGCAATCCAAAGACAGAAGTTTGTTGTGGCACACAGCAAAGATGTTACAAAAACATAACACCAAAAATGCCTCAGCACATCTGCAAAAATAATGTCTGCCAGTGCGGTAAATCCTTGTTCTACCAAAAAGTGGCAATATGTGTTCTATTTTGCTTCAAAAACACAAAATAAGTTAGAATTTCATTTCTTTCCTGAATCTGTAATTTTTCAAAGATCAGTTGACAATATTGTTTTTTTCTTTTTAACTCCAAAGACTACAAAAAAAAAATCAACCTTTCTACGTTATCAAAAGTAACTCACAAAATAAAACATGTTGGTGTGGAAACTACACGTAGTAGCTCTTCATGTTAATGATATGAAGCAGCAGATGCAGATTGCTATTTAGAACTAGGAAAAATTCACTTTTTTCAACAATATAGAAACTGAAGCTCTTGGAGTATGCATTTTCATTTTACACATCTGAAAACAGGAAGAAAACACTAATCAAATTTATTATACTCTGTGTGCCTGAGATTAAGGCGTAGACACTTAAGATGTTAAAATATGTACTGAATTATGCTTTTAAATTAATTCATTTTGACTCATATAGTTTATATTTAGCTTCATCAGCTAATCTATTTTTCAGTGAAATCTAAAGTAATACAATATGACAAAATATTTTATATTAAACTTGAAGGGCTTAGATAAAAGTACATGACATTTCTTTCCAAAGAAAACTGAATCATGCTTTGTGGATGAATCAATTTGTGGATACGGCAAAAAGTGTTTCACAAATATAGCTGTAATTCAATAGTAGCACTTTCATTTCTAGAAATGTGATTGACCTCAATTTTAAATCTCTTGTTTTGAGCTGGATGCAATTTGTCTTCTTTGGTGCTAGATGCTTCAATGAAAGATGCATTCTGGAATGCCCTCGTACTCTGGAAGGCAGAGGGCTGGAAAGGGTCACTGAATCTAATTCCTTACTGTCGCAAGCAGAAGCGTCATCTAATCCTTTAAGCTCCATCTTAAAGCTAGTTAGGGTTTGGGGTTTGTCTGTCTCTGTTTCCTCTAATTTCCAGCTTAAATTTGTTTCTCATTTGTTCATATCCATTTGTTGTGCCAACACTGTCTTAGCTTAAAAGGTTTATTCCCTTTTACCTTCTTTTGCCTCGGGCAAACAAGCGAAACTCTTCTGTCACACTCCAGGCTTTCCATTCTTATGGTCACCTTCATGGCCCTTCTCCCCACGTACCTGTTACATCCAGTGGTGCAACCTGTACACATTATTCCAGATGAGCTCTCACCAGGTCCTTGTACCATAGCATTGTACTACTCCGTCTTTAGCAATACAACATTTGACACATCCTAGCGCCGCATTTTTGTAATCATGGCTGCATTATAGTGATAGCCTATTGTCAGTCTGAGACTACACTTACACCCAAGGATAATTCTGTCACTGTCTTTTTCCACTGATGAGCTTTGATGTTAAGAGTAAGAGTTCTGCTGTTAGTCAATCAAGTGTAGGACTTTTTTTCAGTGCAATTACATTTAATCTTTTTTCTAATGTAGCATTCCTTAAAATCACCTGACTCCTCCTTCCATTCCAGTTCACTTTGAATAGATGATACCTTCCAATTTCTTGTCATCAGCAAATTTCACCTGTTTATTTACATTTTTGCATCAAAATTGTTGAAGATATTTAGCCATTTTGGTGCCAGTCCTTGAGGAATTTCATTAGTAATTTGTTTCGCTTTCAATACATGCATTTCTGTTACCTACCGGCCTTTGCTTATCTGCTAATAGGAAAAAAAAAAAAGCAGTAAGCTACTTTATTTTCCTATTCTATCACTCAAAAGCAGATGAACAGATATTTTGGACACATGCAGCTCTGGTTTCATGTTTATCAACTGCTTTATTTCTTGCCTGAAATCAATTTAAAAAAAAAAATCCATGATGTTTTAAAGGAGAATTTATGTACTCAAAGCAGGACACCTGAAGTACAATATTTACAGTTACATTTTGTCTTTGTCATAACAGTGCTTTAAAAGCCTAAAGTTCTTCTCAACCTCTATGCCACAGAATCACAGAATCACAGAATGGTTGAGGTTGGCAGGGACCTCTGGAGCTCACCTGGTCCAACCCCCCTGCTCAAGCAGGGTCACTTACTCCATTTTTCCCAGGACTCTGTCCAGATAGCTTTTGATATCTCCAAGAATGGAGACTCCACAGCCTCTCTGGACCACCTGCGCAAGTGTTTGACCACCCTCACAGGAAAAACATTTCTGCTTTAATTTCTGCCAGTGGTCTTTGACATGTTAGTGGGCACTACTGAAAAAAATCTGGCTTTGTCTTCTTCATTCCCTCTTGTACTGGGAAGCCCAGAACTGTACACAATACTCCAGATGCGGCTTCACAAGTGCTGAGTAGAGGGGTGTGCTGGTTTTGGCTGCGGTAGAGTTAATTTTCTTCACAGTAGCTGGTATGGGGCTACGTTTTGGATTTGTGCTGGAAACAGTGCTGATAACACAGGGATGCTTAGTTAGTTACTGC